CCATATTGGTTTTTATTATGTTGACTCTATTTTTGCACTGGCGTCTATCCATCCCTTTTTCCACTTGGTGCAAGTGGTGACTTGGTCTGATTGATACTCTTGATCCAGTGGGAGCTCTTGGTTTAGTCAATGCTGATTAACTCTTTGTCTCAGGGAGCAGCTCTTAGTCCAAATGGAGCTAGTGTGCTCTGTCTCAGGGAGTAGCTGCAGTGTTAGCCTGTGGTAGATGGTGGCAGTCTGGCCTGTCTGTAGGAGATCTGCCTGCCAACTGACCTGAAACTGGGACTCAGTCCAATCAGGTGCTAGCAGGCTCTGTCTCAGGGAACAGTTGCAGTCTACAAGGGTGGGTGGAATTTGGGGGAGGTGGGGCTTGGGTTACAGTGTCTTTTGGGGGATGGTGGTAGTCTGACCTGTGTGCAGGAGGTCTGCCTGCCAACTGGCCTGAAACTGGGACTTAAATGGGTGGTGGTGTAGGGGTGCAGGGTTGTGCCCCTGGGCCCAAAACCTAGGGCCTGGGATGTTTGGGTATGAGGATAAAGACCCAACTCTTAGCCCAGTTGGGGGCTGGCAGGCTCTGTCTCAGGGAACAGTTGCAGTCTCCTACACTGTATTCTTTATGAGACAGCTCATCCTTTGGTTTAGCTTATTTTTAAAATCCCATAAAACGTTTATGAGGAAATAAGGTGAAAAATGTTAGTCTGTTGATAACTCCATGAATAAGGTAAATAATAATAGTACCTTTATCACTATGAATTTCATATTAAAACAGATAAATTGTCAAGGAAGGTGCTTACAATATGGTAAGCACTCAGTTATTTTAGAATATTTTTATCATTTTATTTTCCCTTCTGTATTTTTTATTTTTGTAAAAAGAACAAATAATGGCTTGATGGTAGAGAGAAAATATGCTAGTAGACATCCTAAAACAGTGTTTAAAGTCACAGGGGTGAGATGACAGAGGGACATACTGAGAAAAGGAAAGAGAGCACCTGTCAACATCATGGTCGACCAAAACATTAAACAGTGGATGGAAGCAAATGGGATTCCCTCCTTTGGTTAAAACATGCCATAAAGTATGAAAATGACAGGTTCTGTCTTCAGGACTGTGGTGAGCTCACACCTGGGTTACAAAACTCATTTAGAAGGTCACTATCTTAGAAACATGCAGAAACACTGGATAGAGTTCAGAGAAAAGTAGTGAGCATGATTAAAGACTTGAGTCTGATAGATTTATGAAGAGAGATTGAAAAGCAGAACATGCTTTAACAGAAGCCATGAGGAGATGAGGCTAATTAATCTCTTAGAGGTTTAAAAGGTTAGTGAGCATGGAGAGCCAAAGTATTATTTTCCTCAAACTGAAAAAGAGAGAGCATTCAATAAAACTGCAACAACTAGAAGTGAATATCCTGACATTGAAAACATCTGTCTTCTAGAGTTCTATAGAATATTCTGTATGGATAAAAACCTCACACATGCACACAATTAGAAAAAATATGCTTACTAATAAAATCAGTGAATCTTTAAAAACTATAATGTCAACTACAAAGCATACTGAAAAATATTTAATTAATGAATGGAGACAACATTACCAAGAATTTAATTCTCTCCAATTAATAATCTCAATTAAGAGTCAAAAATGCCTTCAATATAGAAACTGACAAGTTACTTCTATGGTTTATGTTTTCTCAATTCAATAAAATAGGCACAACAAAGCAACCTTGAAAATATGAACATGTGAGAAGACTTAATAATATCCAATTTCATGACTTATTTAACATTTGCTGTAATAAAAATGGAATTCACACTGAAATATACCAGTACACCCACAGAAAAAATAAATTGTTCAAAAATAGGCACACACATACACACA